AGGGCCCAAAAAAGGTTTATACGAGTCATGATCGAATCCTGTTTTGTAAAATGGTATACATGGTGTACCCAAAACCATGTAAAGGATTGAAGAGGCGGCTGCACCCATTTCAGGGTGGGATTATCCCTTATACTAACCTCCATCTACCCGGGTTTTGATTGTGGCTCATATAGCCCCGGATACTATAACCACCTGAAACCAGGTCGGTTGTCAAACATCGACCTCCGGAATCGGCTTTGGGCTCACCTGAAAGGACACCCGACAAATACCTGCTCAAAGGTCCTGAACCAAAGCAAGATCAAGTTTTCGACTGAGTCGGAGTGCTTAACTGGCCATTCAAAGAGTTTGGTGCCTATTTCAGGATCTCTGGGTAAAAGAACATGCCCTCCCTCTAATCCCTTCTCCCCGGTTGTACGACAAAGTTGCGACTTTCGAGCTGGAGTTCTTGGAGTACGTTTTCTTTACTACGGCTGTACTACAAACTAACGGACCGGGGACCACCTAATGCTAAAACCGGTTTTCCCGAAAGACCCACTTAGTATTTGGGGGGGGGTTAGCTTTAGGGTGAAGGGATTAAGGGGGTTTGTATATCCGCGAAAAATGTCCAGGATACAGTTTCAATTTTGATGCGACGCGATGGCTACGACGGTAAAAGCCATACAGAACCAGCCCAAGCAAATCCAGGTGTTCTCTGGAAGGAAAACACCGAGGGGAGGGGGGGGGGGGGGCTCTTGGGCTTTGGGCTCCGTTTTTGAGGAGTCAACTTCAGTTTCTGGCTTCAGCTTGTTTTTGAGGAATACCCGTGCTTTTGTGCAAGGTAGTCAAAGAATGAACAATCCTGACCTGTGTTCGGGCCTAAAACCGGGCCATCGGATTTTTGTGCTTTTCCTGCAAGCTCAAGGTATTGGACATTTACGAACATTTGCCCTAAAGCCAACAAGGGGAACATACACACACACTCACATCTTTAGCAAACGGAAGCCGAATTAGCGCGTTGGCCAAGCTGTTGGATGGGAAGGTGCATATCGGCAAGTTGCAGTTCTATCTGCTGAACATGCAGTCCTTTGTCTAAAGACGATCACAAGGCGCACCCTCCTTTTCAAGGCCATATATTATATTGTCTTTCACGAGCCCATTCTGTCAACCTTCGCCGCAAACAGCCCTTCCCAACCCTTGCTATGTCAGCCAAAAAATCATATTATTTAAAGCCAAACCGACCCTTCCTCAAAAACACACACGCCTGAAACAAACATACCAGAAACAAAACATACGCTTGGTTCCTTAATGGCCTGGCCTGAAAACGCAATAAAGCTTTATGCAGGCCTTCGCTATTACCTTTCTGGCGCCAGGCAGTGAGACTACTTTCTAAGCTGGCCAATGGGGGTTTGGGCGCCCCTGCACATTGATTGGGTTGATCAACCGCATGAATAGGGGGTGTCCAAAGTAAAGCAGTGGATGCCTCGAAAGAGGACACCCGCATACATTGTGGGAAATTCGGCACATTAGGAGGATTCCAATGATGTTTCAATCAGGGTCATTGAGCAACTGGGGCGAGGTTCGGTCAAAACCTCCCAAGCAAGAGTTTATTGGGGAATTGTCCCAACCCAAACCTTATGCCTGGCGGCCGACTACCCCTGTTTTTGCGGGGCATCTTCGGTACGGAGCTCTTGAGATCCACCGAAGTTCGGTCAAACTCTGCTGGGAGTATTCGGGAGGGGACATGGGGGAGGAACACACCAAAGGAAAAGGGGTGGAATTCACAGAACAACTCATGATTGAAGTTAGGCCCTCTGTGCAATACAATTTCTTGTTTGTTCCACTTGTCAACATTGAAATGTCAAATGTATGCTACCAGAACTGGGCCCGAACAACTAAACCTAAAGAGGCGCAGGATTCGACCTGGGGACCATTCCCCAATGTTACCTTTCAGTGGGTTTTGGGGGGCTGCTGATGCCTTTTGACTTGCCTTTTGGTTGTCGATTCCGAATAACAGCTTGGGGGTCAAAAAAGAATCCGCTTGGGTTGTGAATGTACCTCACCATGGAAATGACGGGGTCCTTCTCTCGATCCCAGCCGCCCCCATGAGGATGAAGTAGAAGAATAAGAGCAGCAAGCACAGCGAGGTGGCGCCCAAGACATTGCCTCAAGCAAAGTTCCCAGGTTCTTGAATCCGCCACTGGAACACCATAGTCGTGGGAAATCACTCTTTGCGCGGGTATGCCGTCATATGTTTGGCCGCAAACCATGACCATTTGGGTCTCAGGTCACGTTTTGACTGGCCAATTTGCATCCTTGCGGAAGCCCCGCCCAAACCCTAGATGTTTTCTGCAGCCCACAGAACGCGAACAGAACTCACAAACGAAACAAAGTAGACACATACCACTCGAGCCCTACAACTTTGGAGTCCCGCTTTGGAAGGCAAGCCGGGCAAGCCGGCTGCAACACTGGCTGAAGTCCCTAGCAAAATGATACATGTAGATTCTGGACTCGAACGCAGGGAAACCGATGTTCAAAGATTTATCTTCAAATAGTTGCCAGCAGAGCTCTTCGATTGCTGGATTGCAAAAGTACCGGTGTCAAAGAATCCTTGAACAACTTGCTGTCCAGATAAGGGGGACCCCTGTGGTGGATTCCGAGGGAAAAACACATGGGACCAACCAGGTTTAGAGGGAACCCCATCTGCCATGTGCAACACAGCCGAATTGATGCATCTTCTGGGGACGAGGTCTCCTGATGTTCCGTGTTTGGATGAACTGGGGGTGGTGGTGGCTCCATTCCATGTTTTAGAGTGAGTGGGACCGTTCCACTTGCAGGTCAGCTTTTTGTCAACCCCAACCTATTTTTCGCCCATAAACCAAAAAAACGGAGGGGTTCGAACAACAGCGTCCCTTCTGGTTGATCGCCTTTGAACAGAACGATGGATGAACAAATTGTGGACATCATCCTTAGAAGCAAAACGCTACTCCACCGGCGTCTTGGTGAGCTACGATGAGAGCTACTTGCTTCCCAAAGTAACATGCCGGTTTTTGTTGGGGCGCCCCACCATCCCGAACCCACATGGACTGTAGACAAACCGGCAACCACATGGGCCAAACCCCTAACTTGGACGACACCCGAAACCCAAACTTAGAGGCCGTGCCTTGGAGCTTGCACGCATAGAGCGCCTCATAGTCCAGCATCGTATTATCGCCCCCGCTGCATTTGGTGAGTAAACACTGGGCGTCCGCGTAGCCCTCCAGCCACATGAGGGCACTCCTGGGGTGGATAGGGCCAAAAGGGAAACGCGCCTTTTCCTCAGTTCAAGACTTCCTGTTCGTTGGCACAAGCGGTGTTTTGCATCCCGATTTGTGGCGCCACGGCTTTGTGCATTTCCACAAAATCAATGAAATGCCGAATGCTCAACTCAACAGAAGTCATTTTGACGGTACTTCACGTCCCATTCTTTTGAAACAGCCCCCATAGGTTTTTGTGCCCAGGTTTTGGTCCCTGCAGGGGTGGGGTGGTTTATGCAGGTTTAAGCAACGATCATTCATAGAAACCCTGTTTGCGTTGCATGGATTTCTTTCAAGGCAACCAACTGGGTTGTTCAAACACATTTTGCCACGACGCGATCTGGGGAGGCCTGTCCGCCATGTTAAGCAGAACGAGGCATTTGGGAAGCTGGCAGCGGAGGTGATGTCACACTCAGAGGGGCGCCTTCGTATTGAGTATAACATTGTTGACAACTCAGTCGAATTTTTGGTGGACATTCGAGATTTATGTCCACCAATTCGGAGGGTGTTCCCCGTTTCAAATGCATAGCAAAATGAGCAATTCTCGGAATCCAATTTGGTGGACTGTGCCCGACACCCATTGACATTTGATTCTGCCAACCGTGCCCTTGAGGTCCATCTGGGCCTTATGGCAATCCTCATGAAACAAAGTTTTAGAACCACAGTCCAAAGCGGCCAACACAAATTTTGAGAACTGGCCCAAATTGAGCTGCAAATAGAGCTTGCGTCACGGGGCTTACTTAAAGCCTGCCCGTCCTCGCTCAGCCCGGTCCCCTTTCGGGGCTGATTCCATTTCTGGTTAGACTCCACTGAACAACTGGGTTGGTGACTCAACAAAGGTTCCTGAACAAGGGGACGCCAAATAACACCTACAGTTGGGTGAAAATGGATGGCGCAATTCCGACATGTTCGCTCCATTTCCTTAGCTACCCAGGAGAATCGCGCCGTCTAGTTTTACCCTTGGCCGTCCAACTTATTTTCGCAGCTTGGTCATCTAAGGCTAAGGGTTCAAAGCAACCCCCATCCAGCAGTAAGGTATGAAGTCCAACTCGGGAGTGAGCTTCCCGTGCGTTGGCCATCGGATCGGAACTGGGCCTTCAGGGCTGGAGTCAGTCAACCCGCCATCCCTGTGGGAGATCACGCTTTCTATGTCACTTTCTATGCTACGAGTGTGGGCCATCCTGCTGACAACTTTTTGCCATTCCAAAGGGGACTCCTTTAGTGTGAGAGAAATGGGTTGCTGTTGCCCTCAGCAGGGTCAATGGCAACCCCATTTAGGCGTGAAAACCAACCAAATATGGGTACCCTTAAACAAAAATACGGGTGGCTTGTCTTTTTGAAGGTCCTTGTTTGTTTGCAGTTGGTTTTAAAGGGACACCAAAAGGAACACCCAGCATTTTGTGGGTACCCCTAAAAGTTTGTGAGAAACCGGACAGGTCGACGGGGACCCCGCTCCTGGGGCTGTCCTCCTGGGATGCGAGGGTCGCCATTGTGCAGAAGGCCGGCTCCACATCCTGCTCCACAGCCTCAACGGTGGCCTGCGTGAAACTGTTTGATTACTGAAAGACCAAATGGGTGGCTTCTCCTTTTTTGAGGCTACGCTTTTTGGTCCATGTTAAAGAGACATTAAAAGGCAAACCACAATGTTGCTTACTTACTCCCTTGCAAATTCGTATGGAACCCAAAAAAGGGCTTCCTTGAGGGGAGATTTCTTTAAGAACGATGGGTTTCTTGGGGTTCCAGAGTAAAGACCAAACCAAATACCCGGAAGCAGGTCGTTGCCAGGAGCCCTGAATGTCCGCCATGAGGGTGTTGCCGACAATCGGAAACTTGAGTGTTGCTCTTGGTGCCACCGAAATATCAGATTGCCCATTTCTCAACACAAAAGCATGACTGCAATTAGCCTCGGTTCGTTGGCCTAGGATAAGGACCTAAATAATTGAAACGGGCCGACATGTTGCCCGTCACATTACAGAGTGAAAGTAGATAGCCACAAATCCCGCCATTTTGGTTGAATCTACCCCAAGGACCCATTGGAGTCAAAGACAGTGCGAGGGAGAGCCACCCGTGCAGGTCGGGAATACCTCCAGGTTTTACGTTACCAACCCAGCCCAGCTTCCAATTTTGGTAATCGACCAATATCAACAAAGGCACAGATACCTGGAAGCCAAGTAAACTTGGAAGCGCTGGGCTTGGACTTGCAGGGTTCGAACCGATCGCGCGCCTGCTTCTCTGCCAGAACTCCCATCCAGCGGGCCACCTCCGCCTTCGATCCCATGGGGCGAACTGGGCCTGGGGACCCCAAGCCCCATAAGCCCCTTCGGTTTGGGTAGATTCTTCGGAGAACGTTTCGGAAGGTTTTGGGGTGAATATTGCGTTGAAGTTGTAGCTCTTTTTTTCGAGAAACTTGTGCTTGTTTAAGCCTGGATTTTGAGCCCAAGGATTGTAGTCAACCAAAGGAGCCACACTTTCAAACCAAAAGAACAACGGTTGGTTTCGTATAGTGGTAACCTGGAATCCATCAAACAAAGTGCCACAATGACAGCGAACATCTTCTGGGAAGCCCAACGGAATTCCATGGTAAAAAGGCACCCTTTGTTTGTTGGTTGATTTGAAAGGGAATCCCAAAAAAAAGATTGCCGTTGGGCAACGGCGCCACGAATCAAGTGAGCCTGCTTCGCCCTCGCAGTTTGGAAGACTCAATCCATGAGCCAATGCAAGGGGTATCGGGATCGATCAACGGGTATAGGGGCCCAATAGTTGGATTTGGGCCTTGTAGTCCTCACTCAATTGGCATTGAGTGGGGGTGGCTCTGGATTTGAGTATTGTCTCGAAAATTATAATTAGACAACATCCATGTGCGGGTCAACGTTCAACCTTTGACCAAGATATAAACCTGTTCCACCATGATGTTAGCAAAGGGTAAAAACGGCAAACAACGTAACATGTTTCGAAGCGTTGACCCAGGACCCTCCAGTCCTGGCAGCCGGACGCGGACGCGCAGTCTGCGTCAGCTTCAGCCACCTGCCGAAAGCTTCCACCGTGTTGGCTTAGGGGTCTGTACAGGGACAAAGGAAGGAAAGGGAGCAGCAAAGAGAAAGACAAAGTGAAACAGGAGGAGAACAACCAAAGAGAAAGGGAAGGACAAAGAGAAAGAGAAGGAGCAACAGAAAAACATGGACAAAGGAACAAGAAACAAAAAACAACGACAGCAAGGCACACTGCAACGAGAGCAGCGTGCGCGTCAACTCGTCTGCAAAAAACTGAAGTGAACTGCCAGGGTGTGTACTGGGGGGATGCCACCCCCCACTTGTTGTACCGTCCATTTGCTAGACGAACGGCCTTTCCCCAGTTCCTAACAACGTGCATGAAACAGGGTGCCAGATGAAGGTATGGCAAAGGCACAAGGCTCGCACCGAACGCCATATGCCATCGCCTGCGCGACAGAAACATGGTATTTACATTCGAAGGTAGAATCTGATTCTTCAGGAAATCATGTAGTGAGTCCTGAAATTTGGCCTGCGCTTGGCGTGTCACGGCCTTTTGCCCGAGCCCAGTTGCCCAGTGAACCAGGCGCAACAAAAAATGTTGGCAATTTTGGGACCAGCTGGAACACGTACAGAACCCGATCACCGGGACCCCTGGTTCTGGACATTCAAAGTGGGCAAGGAATTCCCTCCCGGGCCCGAAAATCCATTGACTGGCCTCCACCACTGAACAAGGCAAAGGGCCGCAGTGGTCCGCGTGGGGGAAGTGATCCGCCGTGAGGTTGGTGCCTAAGGTTTCCAGTGGATTTTGTTCCGGGGGGGGCAGAAGGACGGCGCTCTCGTTTAGATCTCAAACGGAACCTGCGATTTTTTTCCAACATACGATTAAACATTTGGAGAGTCCCGCGTGTCCATCCAAAAGGAGCCTGCAGGGCAGAACTACTGGACATGTTGACCGAACCTCCCGTGCGACCCCACCAAGCAAAACAAAGTAAAAGCAGGCGTTGCAATCGCGAACGCCGCCCAAATCAACAGAATCAAGCGGTCGTGACCATTTCTCATTGGGTCAAATAAAGCAAACTGCGACTGTGACTGTGGGAATGATCGAAGATCCGATGAAACAACCAAAGCCAACCGAAACAGGCCAAACGACACACCGAAACAAAGCAAGCCGAAGAAACAAACACGCAAGCCACATGATTGTCACATGCAACATGTTGGCTCGTTCTGCCCCGCCCCACAACATGTCCGGTGCTTGTGTCCAGTACAAGGGCAACCATGCAGCGCTTGCTTCCGATAGTGAACTGAAGTTTATTGTACATTTGTTTCTGCCGCGCATACGTAAATAGCCATGCCATGTTCCATGCCTGAGGAGTTTTCTGGGAAGCCAACGTGTTTACCCTTGATGGAAAAACAACTTGTGTGAGATGGACATGGACGACCCAATTCAGCTTTTCGTACTCACCACATGCTTTGACTCAGGAGAGTGATGCTTGATTGGCTACAAAGATCACAGCACTGCGCTCGTGCAAGCTAGCAACTTTGCCGTTCAATGTTGAGCTAGGTACGAGAGGTGGCGGAAATGTCAGGCGTAAACCGCAATCCATGTCCCTTGTAAGTCATGATGTGTTCTGCTTTCTCCGCAAGGAAGTCAACATCAGAATACTGGTAAAGCGGCAAACCAGAATAGGAAAAGAACATAATGCGTACATGCTGGATTTGTGCAAACGCTGTGGAATTGATGAAACGTGAGTTGAGGAAGGCTCTTAGAATTGTCTCACCTGGCCAAAACCTCCAAACCGCCAGTCGAAAACCATCCTATTTTCCAACCAGACCTTTCAACCACTTTTCAACCCCGCCTATGGCGTGGACGCTCATCACCTCAGCACCATGGGTGTAGAGGAGGAAGTGGTCCTGGACCTTGGGGTTCAACCACACCGCCCCCAGGGCCGCCGCGTCCTCGAGATTTCTCCCCCGACGAAAAAAACCTTCCGAGGGAAATGTCCATGTTGTCCCGTTGGCTTCCCTTTTTCCCGCCAAAACCCCAAGGAAGACCCATTTTTCCCATTTTTTCCCCAAGAAGGCTCGATGTCCAAATGGCACAAAAGGATGCCGGGCGAAGTGATCCCTATGAAACCGAAGCAAGCAGGTCGCTTGATCCTGGCACTCGGAGCCTTGGATATTGTCTGTATCAAGCCTAGTTCAAGACAGACATGGAATTCATTGATTGACTCAGCACCTGTAAGACTGTAAGGATAAATACATGTTGGTCGGCTAGCACTGGCCAAACTGATAGCTGTAATTTACCAACCTGACGTAAAGAATCCCTGAGCGCAGGACCTGCATCATAGACGAGCCCTTACCCCTGGCTCGACCACATCCTCATCCAAGCCACCAATTTTTGGAAGGAAGGCCAAAGGGATGAGCAAACCAGGAAAATCCATAGCCATGAGACACGAGGCCAGAAAAATGCTGCAGCAAAATGAGTTGGACGTTGGAACTGGAAGGCATGGGTTGCTCAAAGGACAGCTAGAAAACGTTCGATTCTTGGTTCGGAGCCAAATGAGTGTGTGTTTTGTTGCAGGGTGCCTTGTTCAGGTAGGTTTAAAAGGAAACCAACAGGACAAGCGATTCCCATTGGGCGCAACCCAAATGTTCCTCGCCCGTTCCTTGACAAGGACGCTCACCGGTGGATCGGCAGTACCGAAGTACAAGGCGGTCAGCATCGTCGTGTAGGAGGTCACGTCATGCAAGCACCTGGGTGAGTGATTTTTCAGGGTACCCTTTTGAGGGTTAAAGCAAACCTAAAAGGAAAGATGGCCCCACCACGGTTTAGGGGTTTTGTGTTCCGACCTTTTAGGGTTTATGCTGGGCCCACCAGCAAAACACTGTTTTGGGTTTGCGCTGTCCCCATCAACACTGTTTAGGGTTATGTTGGCCTCCAAACACCTTTTAGGGTTTATGTTGGGCCTACCAACACGGCTTAGGGTTCGATGACCTGTTCTAGGGTTTATATTTCTACACCTTTTAGGGTGCGGGAGCGGGGAACATTGGGGGGCGGGCAAACCTCACGCTGGCGAACACGTCTAAGCCCGTAAGCTAAAACTCCAAAAGGCGAAGGCAGGCTTGGACTTGTTCCTTTCGAAGGACTACAAGCAGCTGTCACATGTCTACCATGGCAAAAGCAGGAGCGAATCCTTTCCGTGATGAGCATTGTTGTCTGATCTGTCCAAAAAGCACACTCTCAGCGGTGGCGTACAACTCAAGCCTTGTCAGACAGAGTTGATGGCCTGGCCAAAGAAACAATTGGCCTCCGGAAGAAACAGATCTCAAACGACTTCCTGCTCAATTTCCCATTTTTGCCATGTTTTGACACACAAAACGGCGATTTGACAATCGACTAAGCCAATTGAGCAGCGTGCAAAACCAATTTACTTTGGACTCTACCCACATGGTGAAAGATTAGGCCTTGTTGCAATTCCAAGTAAGCCAGGTAGTAGAACCGACTATCAATGCCAATAGGCATAGGAATCGATTTCGGCGCTGCTCAGAGAACGAAAAAGCTGGGCAAAAGACTCCCTCAGTTGAATGGCTCAGTGGATTGAGATGGACCGCGCTCATCCATCTCCCACCTGAACATTACCCACCAACAAAAGCAGTTTCTTTTGATCTGGTGGGGAACGCGTCCTATTGCGAATCTGGCTCACTTGTCTGGCCCGGCTGACTTCCTGTATAATTTTTCCTGTAGCAGATTCCCATGACAATAGTGAAGAGGGGTATTACCTGCCACCTTTGTTGTGAACAAACCCCTAGGCCTCAAAAGCGGGGGAGGGGTTCTCCGAGGGTCAACTCAAATCACCAGGGTGTTGGGATTGAACCTGGAGATTCCTCAAAGGAAATCGCACAGGATAGTTGGCTTGGGGTTCATTCCCTCTTTCCAGACAAATCTCTGAACCAGCAAGACCTTACTTAATTGCTGGCTTGGATTGTATTTGAATCCTGGTTCTTGCGGAGAGCAAATGGGACACTGCCCCGACGTCCCGCGCCATCTTCCGAGTCCCGCGCCGGTAGTAGTTGTGGCCCTGCGCCAACTCTTGCCAGGCGAAGGCGCTGAGGCTCTGGCAACGCGGAGCCGAATGCATCCAGCCATATAGTCCCATTTCTCATGGGGGCACAGGCGCTAACCCGTCAATGGAAAGCAGGTTTGACATGGAAGGCGAACATCTCTGTATATATATATATATAGTAGAAATGCCAGTGCGAGGGTCGTGACATGGCATGAATCGAATGAAGTGAAACCGCACCTTTTCAGCGCTGCCTAGAGGCTTCCATCTGGTCTCGAGCCTAATGGCCCGAATGTGAAACTGTGTTCAACGCACCCAAGTACCTCTTGACTCAGGTTGTTCATTCTGCGTCTTTGACGCGCCCTCTTGATGTCGCACCAAGGGATTGTCCACCCGCCACTGAGCATCCCTCAGAAGCTGCTGAAGCGGGCCCCTCTCGACCGAACCTTTGTTAAGTCCGTCAGCGATCATATCTCGCGTATCTATCCAAACCAAGCTGCTCAGCTGTGTTCTGCAAAGTTCTTTCAAGCGAAGCACATGTATGTAAACTGCTTGGTCGGTCGGAACCTTCACCTCCTTTACTTTCACTGATTCAAGAACCGACTTGGCATCGATGACGGCAGTCATCTTTACGGCATGTTCACCGCGCTCGTGAAGCTTTGCAAGTTCAGTTACGCCCTTGATGCCTGTCAAGATTTCAGTCATCGCCAAGCTGATGTTGATACCATGTCCCACAAGATCAAGGAGGCTAACAAGCTCTGCCACAAATGTGCTCCGACACACCCGTGTCTGCTTCTTGCTGACAAAATCGACAAGCTGCACGTTGTTGATGCCTTGTCGCAAGCCTGTCTTGTCTGCCAAGAAAATTGCACCACTGCGCATCGCCAAGCAGTCCTGCGTGTCTGACTTATAGGCACTGTCTGACACCACAATCAACTGCCATGGGGCATTCACGCGTCTTATCTTCATTGACAAGGGATGCAGTTTCAAGTATCGCAGAACTCGGTTTGCATTCAGAACATCCACTGCCCGTGGATCTTGCAAGTGCCTCTGCAAAGCTGAGATATAGATCGCCACATCAGGGCGTGTCTGCACTATCCACGCAAGTCCTCCCAACAAAGATCGAAATGACCCTCCGGTTTGCTGAGGAACCTGCTGCTCCGGGCTCAAGAATTTGACTTCCTGCTCGTCAATTGTCTTAAGCTCGCCCACATAATGAACCTGCGAGATCTCCCTTGATCCGTCCGCATTGAGACTGTGGCGCAGTCCGAGGTGAGTGAAGTTGTCACGTTCGACCTTGAGCTGATCGAACTCCTGGTTCAAAACCTCCATCACTGCTTGTATTTCACTCTCAATGCCGGTGATCTTGAGATCGTCAACATGCACGCTCATGAGCACCTGCAACCGTGCGTCGTTGCTGTGCTTTGCGAACAGCTGTCTGTCCGTGGTGACTGGTTGCAAACCAACCTTGCTAAGAACACGAGTCAAAGCAAGGCTCCATAGCCTTGGCGCATCCTTGAGGCCGAAACCTGGCTTCAGCAGCTCGAGGCACTCCGTGTCGGGATTGAAATCTTCCATCCCTGGGATTGTGCGAAGTAGCTCCTCGCTGCCTTGGGGCAAAATCAGCTGCACTGACCTCATCTCTGAGCTGTGACCACTCTGAAACAACTCCTCAAAAGTCAGCCCTCTCAAGAACGCCTCGCTGATGTCTGCTGACAGAAGCGGCCAACCAAACTGCACTGCAAATATGGAGACAAGGCGTTGTCCCCACCTGCTCGTTGCTCCTGCAAAGTTGTCTGTGGATTGCTGATCCTTGAAACCTTGAGCAACGAGTCGAGCTTTGATCTTACGCTCTCCACCAATGTCCTTCCACTTGAGAACCCACTTCGAGGTGAGAGGATTCGTGCAGCTGCTTCGTTCACGTCGCAACCAGGCCTTGTGTTTGTCCCATCTGCACAATTCTGCTACCATCGATTCCTTGCACTTGCCAGCTTCCGAAAGGGCTTCTTCCCGCGTCAGAACGTTGTTGCTGCGCTCTATGACAGGAAATACTGCTGCTTTGGAACCGCTGAAGTCGGGTCGATGTACCAGTTCACTGTGCTTGGGAATTGTTACCCTTCTTGAGTTCACCATGACATAGTGCTGAAGCTCGCTCGGAATAACAAACTCCGGCAGATCCGACAGAACTTCCTTTTCGTCAATGAAATTCTGCTCCATGCCTGTTGAACTCTGACCTGCTTCCGGCGGTTTACAGACAAAAGCCCACTCGAGGTCCTTGCTGCGTCTGCGGATGCCGGACAGCTCCCAAGAATCATCTGCTTCCTCAAAGTCATCGTCATCAAAAGCATATTGATGTTCCTCGGTGTCTGTTTGCGCTGCTGAAGACTCTGCTGACTGTACGTCTGGCGTGCCAATATCAAACTGCTGCGCACTTCCGGTTGCCACTGTGGCGGATGAATCATCAACATGACCGTCCAAAAGCATCTTCACTCGTGACCGTCTGTGGCTGCCGTGCTGAAATTCCGGCCCGGAAGATTGCGCTGACGCTGATGTCGGCAAATCATCGTCCACCGGAAAGTTGCCGCCACGAAAACTGAGATCATCTGTCAGCAGAAATTGCATGATGCTAATTCCTTCAGCACTGCATCCTACCAGTCTCGGCACGTTGACATGCTCCGTTCCCTTCGCAAAACTGTGATACCATTCATGCAGCCTTCCTTGCCTCCACCAGACTAGGAAAGTTTCGTCACAGTTCACTCCGGGCAAAGCCTGAATGCCGGTGCCGTACCTGATACCGTAGGTGCCCTGCAGCATGAAGACATTTGAAGCCACGTGCAAGGCCGCCAGAAGTGTCTCAGCATGATGACGATTGCCTTCGCATTGCAACCAGCGTCCTTGGCGATAAAGCCAGCCCAAGCGTAGAGAATAGCCGCAGTGATCTTCGACCGCCATGATCAGCAAAGTCAAAGGGTCTCGACTTGACCTGCGGGAAGTCATAAGTGACAGATACACCAGAGCTCGCCGAACGTCTTGGCATCTGCAGAGGAGATTGCGTCCCTGCCACCTGATGCGCAAGATACCGTCGCACAAAGACGTTACATCGACCACCGTCGCTGGTCCGCTCCAGGCTGCAATGTCCTTACTGCTTGGACTTCGCCAGAACTCGACCAAATCGCCAGCCTTCAGATCAGTAAGCTCGCCTGCTGGCCGAGTGTTGTGCCGCTGTGCTCGCATTGCCTTGGACTGTGCTGTAGCTTGTATCATCGCCTCAATTGCAATGTGCCGCAAGCGAAAGGCATCTCTGTCTTCTGCTAGTCCTTCAGCTTCTTCGGGAATAACATTCAGAAGCGGTGGAGTTCTGCCGAGGACTGCTTCAAAAGGTGAGTGATTGCCCACACAAAGCAGAACATTCTTGGCATAGACCGCTTCCGACAGCATCTCCGCAAAGTTGACTCTAAGCCCGTCTTCGGTTGCTTGAGATTCCATTCTGTGCAGTTGCTGTCGGGGTATCTCATGATGTCGCTCGACAGATTGAGCATGTTGTCCAGGAGCCTTCAGCTTGAGCTTCACTCCTCGTCTCTCGAACCATGCTGCGGCATAGTCTCCAGCGATGCCACCTTCTTGATCGCACACGACAGTTTCAGGAACACCAAAGACGCCAAACCATCGAGTCTGAAAGGCTTGCAATATCTCATCTGTGCTCCGTGAAGCGAGGGGCGTCGCCACCGTCCAGCGTGCGCACATGTCAAGTGGGTGAAGCACCACATGACTCCGATAGAACAGTAGGTCCGCCTGGACTTCCTGATTGAAAAGCGTCCGCACATGCGTGCTGGTCATTGATCTGGGACCAGGCCTCGTCCAAGCGCGACATGTCTTGCAAGTGTCAATCACATCCTGCACCATATTGCTCCGTTCGACACCTGCAGCCTGAAGCAAACTGCGCATTCTTTGCGCTCCAACATGATACCATCTGATGTGCAGTTTTCGCAGAGCACGTCGCACTTGACCATCACGTGGTGACCGCAGCATCTGCAAAGCGGAACCCAGGTCAAAGCGGCCCCATTCTCCCGGATCATCTCCGTCTCCTTCGTCCGGATCTCCATCACCGTCGCCGTCGTCGCCTCCGTCAGGTGGCGGTGCTCCAGCAAGAGCTTTATCCTCCGCCTGCGTTGCAGCATCAACACGATGTTTTCTGGGCGTTCCGGCTCGTGCATCTCCGCCAGAGTGACTCCTGCGTGGCGGTGGTCTAGAAGAGGAAGAGCCGCTGCCTCCGACATGCCCGGCATCTTCTTCACGAGCTAGCGCTTTCTCCAGGTCATCATCGTTTGCCGCCGAAGGCAGTGGCGGTCCAGTGCTGGTGGTTCTTGGGGTTGCCCGGGAAGGAGGAGGCTCTGATTGCCTCTTATACTCAATTCGCTCTGCAGGATCGAGCGCGTCCAGTAGTTCACGCTCAATTGCTTCTTCTCGAATCGGAGCGGTCAACTCCTCATTCAGATTGCGAGTTGTCGCTCTTCTTCCGGCCGCTTTCGCAGCCGACATAGGTCCAGTGCGTAGGCTTGCAGTGGGATCACTGGCTGCCGGAACACGCGGATCACGTGGATGATGTCCTGTGCGACGTCGTCCAAGTCCGGTGCTCATCGTCCTGGCCAGCGCCCACCTGCATCCGGGTTCAAGCGTGTGTAGAGAGTCAGCTCTCGGCTTGTTCTTCCGACATCCCGGACAATGCCAATCAGCCGGTTCTTCGTCAGGAAAACGACAGTCTCCGGTCCTTGTGTGCTGAGGGTGATCTTTACGATGATGCCCCCGACATCCAGGACAATCATAGGTGACGTAAGAGCTCAGCTCAGTTCGTGCTCGCAGAGCTTCGTGAATACCGGTCGCCAAGACACCACAAAGCTTCCAGGGCCAAATCTGGGCCTGCTTGCTCGGCATGCTCCATCTTGGCACATCTGACCAGACTCCAATTTGAGCATGCTCGTGTCTTCCGTCACATAAATGTCCCTTCAGGGGTCGTAATGCTATCTCGCTGGAGCTGATGAACTCCGTCGGCTTCT